CTCTCTTTCCGCCCCGACTGCTACCACGAGACACAGCCCTTCCAAGGAGATCGCTACAGTGTGGTGGTCTACACCAGCCGCATGCTTCCCGAGACATCAACCTCGGTCCAGCGGCGACTTCGGAAGATGGGATTCGTTCTATCGGCCCGGACAGCCGATGTGTGGCAGGTGGATGAGGACGAGCTTTTCCCCTGGCTTGGCGAGACTATGGCAGAAGCCTATCCGGCACGTGCGTGGCAACCGCCAGGCGAGGGAGAGACCATGGCCATGGACACGTCAGGAGATGACGCTCATGACGGCGCCCAAGAACCTCCTTCACGAGCTCAACGACAAGCGCTAAAGAAGGAGCTACCCTGGCAGGCCATGAGTGAGTCCGAAGTGCCACAGTTTGTCCAGGCGGTCCTGGATGAGTGGTCCGAGTGGAAGAAATGGTCCAGCTGTCGGCCTGTCTATGTCGATGTGGACAAGATCGACCCCTCGCTGATTCTGAAGTCCCGGGTTTGCTTCAGATGGAAACCCAAAGGAGACGGGTCATTTCGACCTAAGGCGAGAATCGTGATAGCGGGGTACCGCGACCCGCACTTACCCTTGCTCAGCAGGGATTCCCCAGTCTTGTCGAGGGCAGGGCTACATTGTCTCCTCCAATGGTCTACTTCCTCGAGGGTACCTCTGTTCAGTGGAGATTGTAAATCGGCCTTCCTGCAGGGAGCACCAGACGAAGAACGACCGCAGGCCATTTACATGAAGGCCCCGTGTGACCCAGTGAGCAAACAAGCAGTCGAGGAATGGTCCGAGGCGAGCTTGTTGTATAAACTGTCTGCTCCGGTTTATGGACAAGCGAATGCGCCGAGACGCTGGTACATCCATGTAGCTCGTACCCTTACCAGTCTGGGCTGGGTTGCTCACACGCTAGATCCATGTCTATGGTTGTATCGCGAAGAAGTAGATGGCGTCATGAAGGTGACCGGCGTGCTGGGCGTTCATGTCGACGACATGATTATGTCAGTACTCCATGGCCGGGAAGCGGCTCTGGAAGCCCTCAAGAACTCCTTCGAATGGGGCAGCGCCTGGGAGTCTAAGGAGTTCACCTTCGTGGGACGCCACATCAAGCAGCACGAGGACTGGTCCCTCACGGTCGATCAGGCGAGCTACGTGGCCGAGGTCCCCATCACCAAGATCAACATGTCGGCCGAGGAGAAGCTCAGCGACCACCCGGAACTGATCACCGAGTTCAGGTCCGGCATAGGCAGCCTTCAATGGATGGCGGGCACTACCCGGGGTGACATCGCGGCAGACACCTCGCTGCTGCAAAAACCCCCCAGCGAGCTGACCGTTGCCGATCTTCTGGAGGTTAACAGCGTTCTCCGGTACGTCAGGGCGACGAGCGACGCCTATTACAAGCTGATCCCGATCGACTTTGCGGACATGCTCCTCATCGCGTACGGCGACTCGGCCTGGGCGAACGCCCCCGGAGGCAAGTCTCAGGGCGGCTTGGTTGTAGTTGCTACGAGCAAGCAAGTTCTCCAGACGCCTCAGAAGGCTTCACTGCTGGAGTGGAAATCTTACCGCCACCAGCGAGTCTTGCGCTCAACGCTGGCTGCGGAAGCGGCATCCTTGGACAAGGCCGAGGACTACGGGAACTTCCTGGCAACCATGCTGTCCGAAATGGTGGACGGTCGATACACGGCCACTCTTCGTGAGGTGCCGATCATCGAGGTCTTGCCCGTCACGGACGCGAGAAGCCTATGGGATGCCATACATAGGCTCAGCACTACTTTCGCGGAGAAGCGCGTCGAGATCAGTATCGCCACTCTTCGGCAGCAGTGCAGGCTGTTGCGATGGGTGCCAACTGAGCAGCAGCTGGCCGATGTCTTGACCAAGAGATCCAGGTCTCTAAGAGACGCTTTCCGGAAATGGATGAGCGATCCTTGGGTTACTCTTGTGGAGAGCCGAGCCCCCACGGACATAGATCCTAATGGAGCCAACGCTGCCTGGCGCTGAAGTGCCGGAGTGAACAGGCATTTTAAATATTGAGGAGTGCTGATCTAACGATCTGTTGAGCCTCTGCCATGTTCACGACCCTACGCCGTATCGGCTAGAGGGAAGGGATTCTGCAGATCAAGAGCCATGTGGGAAAAGGCCAGCAGCCCTGTTGCTTAGAGATCCAGGCTCCGGCTACGGCAATAAATTCACACTTTGGAGGTGCCAGGAAACCCGGCCTTCAGCCCTAAGTCTGGCGGGTCTAGGAAGGTGCCCGGGGCTGAATCTCTGATTTAAAGGGCTCTTTGACGGCTTGGCCTCTGTAAGGGCTACTATAAGGTTTCCATGATGTAGCAAGGGAAGTCAATAGTTGGAGTAGTGTTTGCGGGGTGTATTTTGCTTTCCATAATTCAGGCCCCTATTTTATCCGAGTGCTTGGGGTCTAGGGTTTTGGGATAGGTCTAGGGTTGAGAGTTTGGGACTGAGGAAGGAAAGTAGAGTTCATGGCTCTGGATGTAAGGAAGAATTGTGAACTGCTTCCCTGCGTTGCGACGTCAGGTGTTTGGGTCATGATATACTTTTAAGATAAGATGAGGATTTAGCAACCTACACCGAATTAAGATTACTTGCTTAAGAGGTTCTCGTCTTCCATGCCGACAACATCAGAACTCCCTGTTTTGCGGCGGAGTTATCTCCCGCAGGGCAATCCAGCATAATGTAGAAATATCAGTAAGAAATTCTAGGATCCAACAAAACCCTATTAAAGACCCGTGGTTTCAACTGGTTCCTAAATTGGGTTCCTACACTAGAACATTGGGCACTGTAAACGGATGAAGATGCTGTCAGGCTCGTATAGAAACTGCGAGGACTCGAAGACCAAGAAGAGCAGTATTGAGTCTGCTAAGCTACTGATCCTGAATAGAGTCAAACTGCGCGGCGGCGACTAGCTATCTAACCTTAAGCCGTAAACCGAAATCCTAAATCTACCTATAGAGCCCCACCGGAAGCCCACGACAACTCAGTCTAGCGACGTCGTCTTGGATGCCGTGCTCGTGTTTCTCATGGCTGCCGCAGCCTCAGGAACCTTGCACCCTCGATCACTTATTTGCTAAGAAAGTAACCTTGGACCGTTTTCGGTTTGTCACTTCGTGTTACAGGTGGAAGCACTGTGAGGCATAAAGCTTTGAGGGCTTTGTGTTCTTAGTACAATAGCTGCAGGTACCCTTTCACGTGTCGTGGGTTTATAACTCTGTGGGGGGCCTATACAACGTTTCCTATGCCTCGGCCAGGAAAGTCTGCAAGTGCGTTAACCATAGTAGGGAGTATGCAGGGCATCGCAGTGAGTTGGGAATAGTATCTCTAACAGAACCAAAACCTTATTCTCATTATTGAGGTCCCTACAGCCTTAAGCCCATTAGAACCCCTAAAGAACCTTTCACTTTAAAGGAACCCTTATCGAAACACTCTTCTCATTAAGGTCCCTACAGTAGCGCCCCAAGACACCCAAACGCCTTCGACCACGAATATACTCGGGCTTTTTTAGTCGGATATTTCGCATATTGATCCCAAGTGCTCTTGAGTATCCCAATGCCTCCCTTTCAAACCACGAGGCCAAGCCCTAAAGTGTAGCAACCCTACCCCTCAACCCTAGCTATGTAATTCCAGAAACCTACAACTGTATAGCCCTCTACCCTAAACCCTTAATAGAACCCTATGACCTTATATAACCCTATATAACTATATAACCCTAGAGCCCTAAACCCCATAACCCTACAGCAGTGTAGCCCTCCCAGAAACCTCCAGTCCTTGCCTCGACGAGGCCTTCTTGCTGGAATTCGTTATTCAGCTCCTCGCTTACCCAAGGCCTCTGGGATGTGAAATCGGGGGCAGATCCTTACAGTATCGTACTATACGTAGCTGTACTACAACATGCCGCAATCCAATTCTACTCATTCAGGCCACAATAATAAGTCTCAGCGTTCTTGAAGTGTATGGGGGAATTGAGACTCTCGAGTTTGGGGATTAGTGCTTCAGGGCTCTGCAACTGAGACTTTCTGGGTTTCGGGTTTCAGGATGTGGTACCAGGGCGTATACTTGCCCCGCCCTTGAATCGCAAACTTGTACGAGCTAAGGGGCTTGATCTTGCAGCCTAGTTGCGGAAACCACGCCCATCAAAGTTAAGCCACTTCGTGCTGCTGCGATCGTGAAACTCGACGTCCGAAACAAGCAGGCAAAAAGCCTGACGCGTATCTCTCAACCATAAAAATTAAAATCCAAAGAATCTAACTAAACCTTCAAGCCTAAGCCCTAATTCCGAAAGCAAACCAGGGGCTATACTTGCTCTTTCTACTTCTGGATGGATCTCCTTGGCATCCTCTCGGTGGCGGCTCCCAGATGCTCAAGGAATTTGCTTAGGGTTTTGGGGTATCGGTTTAGGGAATCAGATCAAGGTGTACAACAACATGATTTTCGTCATACCATGTGCACATAGTCGTCGACTGCCTAAACCCGTTGAAGATCGCCGAACGGTACACCGGCACGGTCTTCGGTTCAGCCGAAAGCTATTCTGGATTGGGGGTCCCGGATTTGTCCGGTTTAGCAGGGCAGGTCCGGCAGTGCACTTTACCTCTCGAGGGGCTTTCTCCCAAACTTGGCTTTGCCGGCCTATGCCCACGTGGTTTGGGCCCAGGCCTGCCACAAATGGCTCAAGGACGATGTATGTACATACATTGACATAGCAATGTGTGTGTGTATATATATATATATATATATACATTTTGCCTGCATACATACATGTGTATGTGTTTGAAAGAAGGGGTTACGAGTTTAGGCTGTAGGGGTTCAGGCTTTAGGAGGTTTAGAAATTTCGGGTTGGAGGATATCGTGGTTCAGTGTTTAGGGTATCCTTCACCCATATAGATCCTGATAGAGCACTCATAGAACCTGCGCTTTATAAAGACTTAGGGGTTTCGGGTTGTGCTGTTTAGGTTTCGGCGCTTCGTCTGGGCTTGCACGAGCAAAGGCTTGAACTCCTCTTGGTTCAACGAGGCTTCGTCTTTACGGTTTGTCGTTGTTCACATTTTTGAAAGGGCATCTGCGCTTTATGAATGATGTTAAATGGGATTTTCGAGTTTAGGGTTTGTCGAGCTGGTTTTCTCGTGCGTAGGTCGGGGGGCATGGGAGCAGAAGACTCAGTAGGTACAAAAGGTATTGTGGAATTGTGGGTTTCGGGTTTCTGGCTTGCACTTATTTGCTGACGTTTTGCGTATGTTATGACCACAGACGACAGACGAAAACTTGGTGGAAGCATTGATGCTTAACTTATCCCAGCCCCGAAAGCAGAACAAAGGACTCGTAACGGCTGCATGCGCATCCGCATCATCCAAGTACACAGAAGCCAAAGAACCTGTACAGTTCCTGAGAATCCAAGATCTTAAACCCCTTTTCTTTCTCGAACAAAAGTTCAGAAAGCCCAGGAACTTCAGGCCTAAAAACCATAAACACCGAGCCAGGTAAGGAGGAGCCTCGACTAGCACCAAGTGTCCGAAAGTAGCAAATGCAACTTGAGGCCCAACACTAGCATGTTTCCTTTCACTTCCATGAAACCATCCGCATATGTAATAAGAAGCAATACTATGCCCTGCCTGGCAAACCGTTTGTGCTTCAGGGAACATATACCCCACCCCAAAATCCTCCATGAACATCGCCATGCAAAGTCTTCTGAGGTGCCTCTAGACCACTCTCTCGCGCTGCTCTTAGATCTTTGCAGATTTCAGAGGGTTTGGGGTTTCTGCATTGGAAAAGCACAGCCATAGTTTTGGGTTCCTGGTGGTCTTCAGACTAACTAACTAATGGTGATGCCACTTGTTTACAAACACGTCACACCCAAACCCGACGCCGACACTTGAATCCCAAGCGGTTTCTCAACAAGAGGGCTTAGCGGGTGCAGGCGAAATTGGAGTTCGTGAAGTCGAAGGAATCTCCCTCTTGAGCTGAGCGTACTCGGAGAAGACTTAAGCACCTAGCCAGCGTCCTGAAGCTGGTCAACCCCAAACCTTAAACTCGAGACAATAAACCCTAGTCCTCCTTTTCAACCACCTTCGCTGTGGAAGCATCTTGATCCTGTAAGTTGTGTCCGTGGAACTTCTCGACAGAGAGATAAAGGAATCGAGAGACGGCTAGCTAGATAGATAGATAGATAGACAGATAGGTAGATGGCTGGATAGGTACATGTAGGTAGGTAGGTGGCTAGCTAGCCAGCTAGGTAGATATGTAATTAGATAGGTAGGTAGCTGCATAGATAGATAGATAGATAGATAGATAAATAGATAGATAGATAGACAGATAGATAGATAAACAAATAGACAGACATGAACACGCGGATAGAGCGCAGATATTATATATATATATATGTTGATGTACATAGAAATATGTATAGACATGTGCATGTGCATATACATATGTGTGCAATGTGCATGTATACACACATACACATAGATTGTGCGTGTTGTTTGCATGTTTGTGTTTCAGTAGTGTACTCAGTGTTGTAAATTCATCCAGCTCCTTGTCCGTGTTTCTACACTCGTTTCGTGCGTTACTGTTCTTTAGGCGCCTGGGGAAGTGTGATATTGCCCACTGTCTACCTATCACCCATTCCAACTCAAGGCCCCTCGTCCCTAAACTTCGCCATATGAACCCGTAGACCCTGAACGCTAAGCCCTCAAAACTCGTCAACCCCTCCGGCCCTGTCAGGCCCTTCTCTGAACTCAAACCCGATCGACCCGAGACATGCAGCCAGAAAGGTTGTAAACGCGTTGCCCAGCGGCTTGGACAGCAATGCGGTGGTGATGCGAGCAGCGGGGGACTAAGAATCAAGGCTGTCAATGGTATCTGCAGGAGTCCCAGCGTGTTTACAGGGTTCACCGAAAAGGTCAGCTGTGGTTGCAATGGGATTCGAGATTTGTGGGTTTGGGGCTTCGTGGCATTTGGGTCCGGGTTGGTGGATCCTACATCCCCAGGGC